ACTGCAACATGCATTTTGCAAAAATGTTCGTTTCGTATCCATTCCGCACCAATGAACCGTTTTGTGTTATTTTACAGCCCGTTTTATTGGGGGAGGGTGAAATGTAGAGGATAATGAAATTGTTACGAACGATACAAACAATCGGGAAAAGAACGCATATGAATTTCAACAGCTCACACCGATGATGTCACAAGTCATACTCATTCCATTTTCAGAGCAATTATCAAATATGTCGAGTTAAACCGATATGACTGAAAGTACCACACTCATCACCAATGTCAAACGTCATTTGTTCGCGTTCCATGTGCCACTGACGTCTGGTCCAACCGCTCGATCGACATAACAGTGCATATGAATTACTCGCTTTCTTGACTTTACGGGTGATGTAAAGTCATTCCAGCGCGATATCCTCCTCTCCCCCATAATCTGTTTTGCCAGAGAGGTAGAACAGGATGTACAATAGGTAAATATTTCGTTTTGACAACCCAGACATTGCTACTTTTCCATCTGCTTCTTTGGAAACGATTTTCACTGCCATAAACTGATGAGGCTATTTTTGTGTTGTCTCTTCCATACTTCAAAGGTATTATCCGTTTTGCCAGTGTAAAGTAGATACATATATATTGCGGATTTTTTGCAACCAGCCTTGCTTTTCATTCCACTGTTTCTTCGTTTTAACGCAGTTCAGAAAATTCGACAATGTTACATCGGGTTAAGCAACAGATTGAGATGTGGCTTGGGAGGTACCTCCTTGTCATTTTATTTCGTTTAGTTGATGAATGTACAGTAGGCTAATAAAATCTTACGGTCAGGGATATGGCCGAAGGTAGATCATCTAGTTGGATTAGAAAACGCTGCTAGTTCAACAGCTTGAGTAAATATCTGTTTCGCACTAGCATGTTAGCAAGGACGAAAAGATGCCTTTCAGGAAGCGATTTTAGTTTGCGACTTTACGAAAGAAACCCGAATCACCAAACTCACCTTTCAATTGTTCGAAATCTTCCGGATGCAGTTCCATGTAATGCTCAACGACAGCATCGCGAACTCGCATATGATAATCCCGGTAGGTTCCTATTCCGTATCCAATCAACGGAATAGTTATCAGATAGGCCAAAGACGTAGGCAATCCTAAACGACAATAACTAAATATATTTTTTACGAATATACTTTGAGTATGCGGATGAATAATGTAATTGGCACTCATTAAGATTTAATAACTCATAAGTTGTCAATTATGAAATATTTATCAAAGGAACAGTTGCGAAATTGATAAAAGAATCAATTATAGATATAAAGAACACGCAACCAGATGACAGGAATGGCTGTAAGAAGACCGTCGCAACCAACAGATGTGGAATTGCTCATGCTTGCAAATCGATGTTTAATATTCAAAAAGGTGCTTCAGACGCCGATGTTCTGAAAGGCTTGTCAGCCGGTGCAACAGCGGCGTGCAAACCAATGAATTTATGCAAATCAACATATTTCTTGTTGGAATGCCACAACTATGCCCCTTACAAAGTATCGTATCTTACGTCCCTTGCGCAGAACGCGAAGGAACGTTAGACTGAAGGGTTGATTTGCTAATTGCATAATTTCTCCGACAGATCTGTAAAAACTGTTCAGAGTATACGAAAGAAGCATATCGATGTCTGCTTCTGAAACGAAAAGCTACCAACTTCGTATACCTTTAAAAAACTTATGAAAGACTACATAGTGTAAATAATCAATTCGTTTTATTAACGTTCAGAGGTTCATGCCATGAATAACGGCAGAGTACGTCTTTTGAGCCTGCACGACCAACCCACTCTTTTCATAACTTGACGGTGTAAATTCACTGTACCTAAGAGGTCTGCCTCGAACTCCAGAGGTACCGGGTTAGATTCCTGCTTGAGGACAATTATTGTCTTATTCACGAATTCCGTTGAGTAAAGAGTTTAAAATACATTGTTTCAAACCGGGATCGCTCAGTCAGCATAGCGTCGAACTCACAATCGAGAAGTCCTAGATTCGAGCCCCAGTTGGGGTCACCGGCGTCTCTTCTTTCGAAGGTTGATAAATGAGTACCACTCCGCAAGAAGAAACAGGAGACTATACGCTGTGCTTGCCACACAGCTACTGTTGACTCTGGCTTTAAAAAATAGCATTCCTGGCTGATGGAAAAGAAACACAGATCAAAATCGCACTAACATCTTTATGAAAAAAGAGGGTGCTAGAATGGCCACATGGTGAAAGTGTAAGGAAGACCAACATTCTAACGGTTACAGACTTTCGTCTTTCTTTTATTAATTTTTATAGACTGGATCAGCCGATGAATCCCAGCAACGGAGAATGTCAAAGCTGCGAATGCTGTTGCACTGAATCGACAGATGCCCGTAGATTACTGCTTCATGTTCGCTTCCTCTCATGTTTACTCAAAGAGGTAATTTGCAGGTTGATGATGACCAGGTGAGGATCAGCCCAACCAAAAATATCGCTTTTGTGTTCTCTAGAAACGTCATTAAATGTACTCCATAGGTCATCGGAGTTCAGAAGAGATCGATGAAAAGTTTAAGTACCTACGGATATGAATCACAAGTGGCCGCAGGCAGACGTGAAAAAACACATTGATCGGTCAGGCAAGTGCTGTCACGCGAAAGCTGAACTGGTCTACGATGAAACAACTGTGGGATGCTATCGGCGGTAAAGTCTGCATATGCACCCACCATAATATAGGGTCGAGAATGTTCGATACTGAGAAAATAAGTACGATCCTGGGTAAAGGAGGTAAAAATCAAGTATTTTTAGTAGGTCTGGCGGAATGGCGAATGTCATCAGAATGGCAGAAATACCCGCCAGCGACAAATTTTTCTTAAACTCACAAGGAAAGAGGAAAAAGAACACGCCAGAAGCCAGGACAGGTGATCCGCCAACATTTCGCAAGCGGCGTTGTCGTGTGCGAGAATTCCGCATGCAGAGTTGTCTGAATGGTTGACAGCGAACGCGACCACTAGAAAAGAATCCTTAGACTGCTGCTCACGCAACCAGAAAGTAACAGCGGGCTTTAAAAATCGAAAGGGATGAATTTATGGATGAATGAATATATGAACGAATGGACGAATCGATAGCTCGACGCACGAACGAACGGACGGATAAATCGACGAATGGATGAATCAGCGAACGAATGCGTGAATGCACACGAATAAACAAATGGATAAATGGATTGAATGGACAAAATTGTTAATGTACGAGCAACTGAATGAATGACTGAACGGATAACGAATTACGACTGCATCAGAAAGCAGCCCATCAACGGCATCCACTTCTTACAATCTGAATATTCAAGATATTTGCCGTTGTTTCCAGGTCTTCAGAATAGTGTAGATGATGGATTTAAATGCACATCTTTAAACATGTCGCTAAATAACCAAATCTGCTGAACTCTGGTAACGCACCTATGTGTAAAACAGAAAAATGCTAAGTTTTTACACGAATGCAATAACACGCTTGCTAAGAGTTGTCACAGTTCCACATACCTGCATAATATGGCCGGCGCCGGTAGTAATTGAAAGACACGTGGGAAACGATGCCCAATGCCAAACCATACGCAGTGAACTTCGCTCGCGCCGGCCAAGAGAAAACGTTATACCATTGACATGCTGGAGGCTTGTTGATGCCCAACTGCTCTTTGAGACTCATTTCATGTCAATGTAACCTGAAACGACGCAGAGTAATGAGGAAAAACGTGACGGTGATGACGTAATGATAGAGCGTACGGACGACTGTTCAGTGGTGGAGGTAACGAAATCGTGCTTGCACCATCAAATAGCAAAGCAAATGAGTCAGGAGAACTAAAATATTTCAAAAGAAGTTTTCGTTCCTCGCCTCAGTGAAAAGTTGGTCCAGTCAAATCTTCATGATTCACTGTTCAGAGTAAATCAGCTTTTCAGGAATCTGCCAAAAACTCCTTACTCTCCACCAATGCAGTTTGATGCTGAACATCAGCATCTGCATTACGATGCAACGAAAGATAAAAGAAAAGTTTGCAAGAACTGCAAGAATCGGCGCACTACCTAAAGTTTACAATAGTTGTTGCCTTAAGCAGGAAGTTTCATGTTTGTTTATAGATGCAATTTCCATGATTCTGACACCCGGCGGTCTTCTCCTTCTTCTCTTTCCTGGTACTATCAGTGTTTTGGCCACATTTTCCATGTACTTACCGAGTCTTCACTTGAAGTGACCGAACCAACGGAGTCTGCCTCAATAAGCCATCATGTAATTGGCTACACCTAAAGTGCCTCATATACCGGTATTGCAGGCGTGATCGATTTTTTCTGACACCGCTCATCCTCCACCTGAGTAACCGCATTTCTACCTAGTTCAGCTGTAGCTCGTCTCTTCAAGGTGATTAAACAGAAGTACCGGTCATATTAACGTTCAGTAGACTGCTTCCTCTAGTTTGGCTGATACTTCTCATCGCCAAGTACGCCGCTCACTGTCGATTTCCCAATGTATTGCACAATGTAACGCATTTTAATTCGGACATCTGATTGACTGCCATCTTCACTGATTCATTGGCATTGCCTCTTGACCCTCTGCAGATCGCCATAAAATCCAACTTGCTTTTACTAAGCCGAAGTGGGTCTTGGTGGCTGTTGATGCGCCTACTCCTCTTTTCTGCTCATCTGCTTCCACAACTCAGCAACACGCGATCTGCGTGACTACTTCATACAGATGTTTAATTAGCGTGCGTCTGTCGCTACGGAGAACAGAAACGGGTTCACTGCTGACAAGTGACAGAGACCCGTGTGCGCAAAGGAATATATCTGCTTCACCTTACTGCACTTCGAACTGTCGCCGTCGTACCAACCTATGTGATGAATGTGTCAGAAGTCATGATCGTTTAGAACCTGTGCGAAGGGCTGCAGTGCTGAAACCAATTAGCATGATTATAAGCACTTACCTAAAACCCCACGGGCTACTTAACCATATGTTCAGGATAAACCGAATATACTGTTTTTGGCACAGACGTCTTTCACATACTCCATGTACAGCATCTGCAATGATGCATGGATGTAAAACTGCATCACTGCGTTTGGTTAAACAAAACCATTTTCAGCAAAAAATACCTACACACATCCTATCACTCTACACCTGTGTCACGAGTTAGTTTTCCCGACCTGCTAGTAGCAGATTTCAAGGAGCTGAAGCGATCAGTGAAACGAACCTCTAGAGTGATGTTCCACGACGCAACTTGAGGTATTCTGCCAAAACAGAGGACCTGCCGTTTCAACGGATCGCGGCGACAATCGTGACGGTAGTCTTCGCCAGGAACGTTCTCGAAGATCCCACCCATCAATTACGTGACATTCCAACCTGTTGTAAATCAAACATGAAGGCGACGCGCTCGCAATGAGTTCAACTTCACGTATACCAGAACTGAAACATTCAAGCGCTCAGTTGTGCCTCACTTAATCTGGACTTTTAAGGATTCGGACACGCCCAGGAGCCCGATCCAGTAAAACCTGTCATGAATGGTCCTGTTGCACGCATTTTCTCTCCAGTTTACAGTATCGTACGCCATGTAAATCAAGAGAACTGACAGGAGATCATGATCCTTGCCGGAGGCGTCAAAACTACAAGTTTGTCGGTAAACCGTAATACCGGGGTTAAGTAGAGTATCACTTCTCCAAAACAAGACTTCATGGCTTACTGCACTGTCACCTTGATCCTAGTTGCCTATCGGAGGAGGGGTCACTTAAGGAAGCCACATCTTTATGATATTTGACCACCTGCGGTGCCAGACGCATTTCGCGTTCATCACTAACGATGTTTCAGGAGCTTATACTCCTTATATGCTACCGCACAAACATATTAAGCTGTTCATACGGCCGAATATCTCCATTA